AGAGGAAGTTTTAAAATCAACCAATCACAATCTTCTGAATAATTTTTGATTGATTGATTTTAAAACTCCCGCTGAAAGGGTATAGGGGGTTAAGCATGCAAAAAGTGCCACCGCAGCTAATTAATTCAAATTGGCACCATATATTGGTACCCCAATGAACAAAAAATTCTGCAAGTATGAACCCTTAATACGCATTTTCAAGGGAGTTATGAAGGGGGAATGAAAAATCGAAAAACCTATTTTTCTCGAAAACTACTGAATCGATTATAATGAGCTTTGGATATGTTATACATAAACATACATGTTTTGCAGATATTTAAAAAATGTAGTTTTTGAGTAATTTAACGAAATCTACCGTCGCGCAACATGGCGTGACGAACTACGTAGCGTGGAGCACAGTGTGATGATTCTTAATGCAATGTATCCTTTTAGGAAAAAAGTTAATATAATATAATAAAAGAAAAAACTTGAAAGAATTCATGTTTAACAAACTGAATTATATAATTCCAAATATTTTTTAAATTCAAATCTAATCAAAAAAATCATGACAGTTCTAAGTATTTTTTGAAATTGATTTTTTTAGGTTCAAGAAAAATTAAATTGTAAAAGCATTCAAAGTTGAAAGAATCCATCCATTGTGAATTTTTAACTTTGAATGCTTTTACAAATTGATTTTTCTTGAACCTAAAAAAATCACTTTCAAAAAATACTCAGAACAGTCATGATCTTTTTGATTGGATTTGAATTTAAAAAATATTTGTAATGATATAACTAATTTTGTCAAACATGAATTCTTTCAAGTTTTTTCTTTTATAAACAGTTTTTATTTTATAAACAGTTCTACAATTTTTCTGTATTATTTATTAGTTCGGTACAGGAATTTTACCCCCTATATATATATATATGTTATGCTATGACAGACAGACTATGACCTTGAAACCAATTTCAAATAAAAGCATTCTCATAAATTTATTTATAACACAACAAGCCTGCAAAAAAATAAAATTTCTGTTGTCAGAGATCGAGAAGTCATTTCATATAGTTTTTGATGTGCTGAATCCGAATCTAACAACGAAAACCTCCCATCACGTCAGGAATTTGAGAAAAATGGGGGTAAATGTCCCAAAAATCACGTTTTTGTCAGTTTTTGAACATTTCTACTGGGTAAATCCGACGTGCTTGAGACTTGTCGTAGAAGTCAAATTAAAGCTTGAAACCTATAATTTACGATGATATAGCGGTATTAACAACAACAAAATAAATTAGCTGTCAAAAATGGTTTTTTTAAGTTAGTAATCATGAAAATTGACTCACACTGTTCGTAAATATAACAATTTGAAGAAATACTTGGATTCTTTTGAAATTTGTCACTTGGAGGTTTTCGGGGTCACGGATTACGAATATGATTTCAGATTTTTAAAATGGCGGATCCAATATGTCGGATTTAATCGATTTTTAAAAAACTCGTGCGCCATATTGGATCCACCATTTTGAATCTTGAAAATCTGAAATCATATCAATAATCCGCGACCTCGGAAACACCTGAGTGACAAATTCCAAACGAATTCAAGTATTTTTTAAAATAGTTATATTTACGAACAGTATGAGTCAATTTTTATGATTGACAACTTAAAAAAACCATTTTTGACAGCTAATTTCTTTTGTTGTTGTCAATATCGATATATCCTCGCAAATACAAGGTTCAAGCTTTAATTTGACTCCATGACAAATCTCTAGCACGTCGGATTTACCATGTAGAAGTTTTTAAAAACTGCCGAAAACGTGATTTTTGGGATATTTACCCCCACTTTGCTCAAAATCTTGACGTAATGAGAGGTTTTTGTTGCTAGATGCGGATTCAGCTCATCAAAAACTACGGGAAATGACTTCTCGATCTCTGACAACAGAAATTTTAATTTTTTGCAGGCTTGTGCTGTTATAAATAAATAATTAATAAATTTATTTTAATATGTAATAGAAATTAAATGACATTGTTGATATTTCACAATGAATCTGGGAAAATATTCGCTTTTTTCTAAGAGATTTCTAAGAGACATAAAGAATCATCATACTGTGTGCTCCACGCTAGGTAGCTCGTCGCACCATGTTGCGCGACGGTAGTTTTCGTTGAATTACTCAAAATTAAATTTTATAAAAATCTGCAAAAAAATATATTAAGGGGGATATTATAAAGTATGTTTAAAAAAAATTGAAGTGATCACTGTAAAAAATCACCCCCAAAAAAAATTTTGAAAATTTCAAAATTGATTTATTTTTACTTTTTTTGAAAAAAAATTTGATATTTTTTTTTTAAATTGATTTAACTTTATGTCTAACATATCCAAAGCTCATTAAAATCGGTTCAGTAGTTTTCGAGAAAAATAGGTTTTTCAATTTTTCTTTCCTCCTCCATAACTCCCTTAAAAATGCGTATTAAGGATTCATACTTGCAGAATTTTTTGTTCATGGGGGTACCAATATATGGTGCCAATTTGAATTTATTAGCTGCGGGGCAGTTTTTGCATGCTTAACTCCCAATACCCTTTGTATACTAAGTGGAGAATCTGATATATGAAAGTTTGATCAAATGGAAATTCGACATTTTAACATTTGTATCTAATGAAAATTCGGATAAGTGAAACTTTGGTCAAATAAAGTATCTGTGAAATAGAAATTCTCTGTCTTAAAAATTTAGCTAAGAAGAATTTCTGTTAAATGACAATACTATTAAATAAAAATTAGATTGTATAGAAATTTTTTGAATAAAACTTTTGTTAAATAAGAATTTTGTTATATAGAAATTCTTTTAGTTGGAAATTCTGTTAATAAAAATACTTGTTAAGTGAATATTCGGATACATAGAAATTTGACAAAAGAACAATTGAGTTAAATAAAAATTCTTTTTGCTTCCTCGTGGAGGAAGCTTTGTAGTACTTTCGTTTATAAAATTTTTGAACATGGTGAAAACAAATTTTCCTCTATATAGAAACATGTTATATGAGATTCTGATCGATTGTCCGCATGTATGTATGTGTATGTGTGTGTGGATCGTTTTTTGTAAACACGATATCTTTAACAAGTTTGAATTGATTTGGATAAAATTTGGTAGGCTTATTTATCACATTAAACTCTCAAAAATGACGAGATGGTTTTTAAAAGTACCCAAAAAAAATTTTTTATTGTCTTTTTTCCAAAATTTTTTTTTGATTAAAATCATTTTTAGATAGAAAAATTTAAGATAATATATAATATAATCGTCTTCCTTACATCAAGACGAATCGCTTGGTATATATAAAGTATAGATTTGATTGAAATTTAAAGAATTAATGAAAGTTAAAAAATCAAAAATTTACACTTTAGATAAAAATGTTGTTGTGTTTATTAAAATTCAAGTTTATAAATGAAATAATTTTATTCCCTGCATTAAAACGAATGGATTGGTATATATAAAGTATAGATTTGATTTAAATTTTAAGAATTAATAAAAATTGAAAAATCAAAAATTCATGTTTTAGCTAAAAAATTTTGTGTTTTTAGGGTTCCGTACTCGGTTCGGAACCCTATTAATATCGGTTTTTTTGAAATAGTGTACCCCCCCCCCCTTAGCGGCCACACGAATTTATCTAGAGGGCTGAAATTTGGTACACATATGTATTTTCGCGTGTAGATCCTTGTTTATGAAAATTTTTCTTTATATCAATTTTCTTAAATGGAAATTGTGTTTTTTGAAAATTCGATATATTAGAAAATCTGCTTTATCTAAGTTCAGTTAAAAAGAAATTCTACAAAATCAGAATTTTGTTAAATAGAAATTTTTCATTATTAAAATTGAGCTCATTATAAAATCTCTTTTTTAAAATTTTACTAAATGTAAATTCAATATTTTTTAATTTGTCACTACAAAAATCCCGTCAAGTCTAACAAAGGGAATATTTATACGTCCCGTAAAATTCCTGTAGCGTACTAAGTGAAAAAAAAGTTGATCGGATCGGGCTGTAACTTGCACATAGTTTAGCCCTAGGGGTGAGTACTTTTTTGTTATTTTTGAGATATTAATTAATTAATGTTAATAAAAAATGAAATATTTTACAAATACCCGTGTAGAAAAATCTTCTGGGGCTGGCCTAATTCTAGCTAGACCGCCTAGTTTCCAGACTAGCAGCTGCCCAGAAACTCTAGCCAGCAGCGGGCTAAAAATATAACGCTATAAGCAGTCAGACGTTGGCCAGACGGGCTAGTCAGACGGTTTGACCTGGCGTTGGACAGATGACTAGCATTTTCTATTGAATTTAATTGGTTTAACTTATGAAAACAATTCGTTATATTTCTGAACTTAAAAAAATTGCGCATACAATGAAAATTAATATTATCAACAATTCTTATTAACTCAGTATATTTAAGTTTAAAAAAAAATTGAACCCCCTTTCTGTCCTACAGTTTTTGAAAAAACCTAACAATACTTCGTGGTTAAACTATGTGCAAGTTACAGTCCGATCCGATCAACTTTTTTTTCAATTAGTACGCTACAGGAATTTTACCCCATAGATATATCAGTGTTAAGCATAGGGGGTCGTTAAAATTGTCGGGAGCTCTGGAGTCCATAAAAATAGTCTAAAACAAAAATTCCAAGAATTTTTGGTTAAAATGTGATTGTAGAATTCGGATGAACCTCAAGTGTCAAAAATTTTTTTTTTGCCAAAATGGGGAGCAAAAGAAAAAAAGTGTATAAAAAATTTTGTTACTGACTTTGCTATAACTTTTTTTTATAATAGTAATTCATTAACATTCGAGGTTCATTTGCATATAAATTTAATTATCTTTAATTTAAGACTTTAGCGAAGTAAATTGGTTGAAAATTTGATGAGCTATGTATCCCGACAATTTGAAAAACATGGTTTTGAGAAAAACGGGTTTAAAGTTTTCGGTTATAGTGGTACACGTACTTGATGCGCTCCGCTTATACATGGACCAGACTTCCCCATTAAGTGTAAAAGTCTTACCCTCAAGGATTTGGGATTATTAGAATAATCTACTGGTTGACAACGGAAACTGTAATCATTCCACCATCCAGCCATAAGTCCTTCATAAACTAGGTAGATGCTCAGAAGAACTTGAATGAAATTATAAATAATTAATGTGTTCCTCAAAGTGTATGGTTTTTTATCCCTCATATACTTTGGACCAGCGGAGGTACTGAAATAAACGTAGGTGACAACTATCATTAATAAGGGCCCTGGACCAGTTACGAGAAACCAATCTTTTGTTCTGGGATCTGCAAAAAAGGTATATATTTAACGACATGTCTGAAATTGGTTAATGTTATGAAAATAATTCGTGCGCAAAAAGTACTACCAACAATATTAAAAAGAACATTGTGAAAAACTGAATTTAAAAAGTTAAATAAACACAGTAGGTTTGAACTAAGTTCAACACATAGGTTTTGGTACTGGAAATTTTCTTGTGAAATTCAATTCTAGAATGTTTTCTTAGTAATTTAAGACCACAAAATATAAATATATATATATTAAGCAAGTTTTTTTCAGTTCTCCCAACTGTGTACTCCTTCAAATATTCATTAAGTGGACGGTTTTTGAAGAAGCCCAATTTGCTCCAAGTGTACCATAGTTTAATGCGCGCGCAACGAAAAGGACTTGTATGAAAATTTCCAAAATCTCATTTGACATATAACTTATTTGACAATAAATTTCGTTTGAAGTAAAATTCATTTATAATTCATACATAATACTCATTTCATATAAATCTTATTTATCTGTCCTAGTTTTACACACAGAAGCTTATTGATAGAACGTCCAAAGGGCCTACCGGCAAACCAACTCGGCCTTCTGGAAGCCTCTATTTCAAAACGTTATAAAATTAATATGGATTTAGTTAAAAACAAAGTTAAATATATGGTTTGAAAGGTAATTAAACAAGCATTTTAGCGCACGAAAGATCAAAACTCTAAATTAAAATGTCAGGGCTAGACAACTAAAAGAATTTTTGAAATCTATTTACATGCTTTCGAAACGATTGTCATGGTCTTCTAGCAGGCCAAACCAATGTCTGTCTACTTGGCCTTCTCGCAGGCCAAAGTAATCGTTTTTTGCAGTCAAAATTTTTTTACATTTTACTTATATATTTTATAATTTATTATTATGTATTATCATTTATTATTTTTAACATTATTTATCATAAACATATTAATAAAAGATAATTTAAAATATTTAGATTGTTTATTCTGAAAATTAGCGTTATGGTCTTCCGGCAGGCCAAAAGCTTGGACGGTCTATCATTATATGTAAGACAAGGGCAAAAAATGCAATTTATATGTCAAATGAGTTTTACACCAAACCAAATTTTTGTCAAATGAGATTTGGGAAAAATTCATCCGAGTTCTTATATCCACATATTCGGATTTCTACTGCCTTGCGACCAGTCAGGTGGTCCAAAAATGGAAAAAAATAAAATTCAAAATTAAAATTTTTTAAAAACGCTATCCTGTAGGAAATGAAAATCCTCACCTTTTTTTCCTTTGAGATTTTTTTATAAAACGAATATTAAAATTAATAGAGGCAAAAAAGTAGACAATTTTTAAAACATAATTTGTCGTCATTTTGCCAAATATTGATGAATTTTTTTGAAATTTGGTGCATTTTATTCAGTTTATACTATTAAAGACGCCAATCATAAAAAAATCAAGAAAATTGTTATTATTTAATAATAAATAATAATAAAGTTTTAATTTTGAAAATATGTGTTTTTCAACCTTCTACTGAAAAAGTTATGGAGGGAATTTTCATTCTGGAAAAACTTCTCGCGACAAAGTTTTTCCTTACATATTAAAGAAGTTTTTCCAAAATTTTGGAATTAATTCTATAAAAAATAAAGAAGTTATAAGGAAAATAGTGAAAAACTATTTTTCCTTATACTGCAGCAGTAGCCAAGACACCTCACGGCTTAGTTTTTTCCGGGGCGTTCTTATTATATAATTCACCCTACACTCGATCATACTAAATAATTTGGCATACAAATTTTTGATTTTATTAATAATGAAATATTTTTGTATTCTATTTCTGTTAATAAACAAAAATATATCCAAAATACATATTAAGAATTATAATTATATTTGAAATCAGTATTTATACATTTTGAATAGGAAAAGTAATAATTTTCTTATACAATATGAAATAATAATTTATTAGTTAATTTAAGAAATATATGTTTTATAACAAATAAATAATTATTTTTTCATGACGAGTGTAGGGCGAATTATATAATAAGAACGCCCCTGAAAAAACTAAGCCGTGAGGTGTCATGGCTACTGCTGCAGTATAAGGAAAAATAGTTTTTCACTATTTTCTTTATAATTTCTTTATTTTTTATAGAATTAATTCCAAAATTTTGGAAAAACTTCTTTAATATGTAAGGAAAAACTTTGTCGCGAGAAGTTTTTCCAGAATGAAAATTCCCTCCATAACTTTTTCAGTAGAAGGTTGAAAAACACATATTTTCAAAATTAAAACTTTATTATTATTTATTATTAAATTATAACAATTTTCTTGATTTCTTATGTTTGTCGTCTTTAATAGTATAAACTGAATAAGATGCCCCAATTTTAAAAAAAATTCATCAATATTTGAAAAAATTACGACAAATTATGTTTTAAAAATCCATTAAATTATCGTAAAAAATTTTTCTATTTTTTTGCCTCTATTAATTTTAATATTTGTTTTATAAAAAAATCTCAATGGAAAAAAGGTGCTGATTTTTCTTTCCCACAGGATAGCGTTTTTAACAAATTTTAATTTTGAATTTTATTTTTTTCCATTTTTGGACCACCTGACTGGTCGCAAGGCGGCTGCCTCAAGTGTAGGTCTCCTTATAGAATCGGGGTCCTCAATTTCGGTCCCAGAAAGCCCTATATAAATTGCATTGAACGCACCTCTGTTAACACAAAACTCTAACAATATTTAAGGCCCTTACTCCCTTTTCAACTCGATTAACGCGAACTATATTTCTAAATACACTGGAAACTCCTAAGAGCGGTCTTCCTGAGAGCTGACGAATTATCAGCGCGGTGTGGTAAAGAGTGAGGAGGGAAGAGATGGGCGGGATCAGAAACAGAAAGCAGGAGCGTCTGCTTTGAGTGTACCGTTACTCTGCAAGCAGTTTTATTGGCTTACTAATGACTAAATTTTGAAAAAAAATATTAATTATAAAATAACAACTTACAATACTTTATTATAAAAACAAAATTTATTAATATATATAATAATATGTAGAATGTATTCTGCTAAAAGCACTAGTAATTTATTTTACGGCCCTGAGTGTTTATAGTAGTCTACGTCAAGGACATTCTTCCGTAGAGCCGACTAAGACTAATGCCTTACGCTCTTGGGAGTTTCCAGTGTAATATATTAAATTACATTGTATAGGAGCAAACAAGTTAAGAGATTTCCACTTAAAGACCTTTTCTTAATTTATTTCTGATTCCTGTTATTCAGTGTAACAGTTCAGAGTGAATGAATAAGTAAGAAATCGCGTTTTCCAGTAAGAACAGTGTATTATAATGGCTAAAATAAAGAAAACGAGCATTGACCTTTCAAATGAAATTATTAATGTTAGACGAAGTCAGTAACAAAACTTTGACAAAATCATAGATCGTAAAAAAGTATGATATTCTGAAATCTACACTTTCTACGATTATCAAAAATTAGGAAAAAATATTTCCAACAGCAGCATCTGACTCCATTCACCATAAAATAAAACAAATGCGCAGTGCTAATTATGAGGACGTCGAAGTTTTGTTATTAGATTGGTTTAATCAAATGCGATCAGAAAATGTGTTTTTAAGTAGACATTTAATTAAGGGTTAACAGAAAAGAATAACAGACTACTTCAAACCACTTTATATAAATATATGCGATTCTTTGTATAAATCATTGTAATAAATGTTTATAAGTACAATAAACATTCAGTCTTGGTACGTTAGACCAGTTATAATGACAACCTCGATAACTCGAATTTTTTTTAACACGAACAGGCAAATTTTCCGGTCCCTTCATGTTCGTATTAACGAGGATTTACTGTATATATATATGTGCCATTCCAGGAGTTTTTTAGCACTTTTCGGAGTAACCTTTCCAAATTAAATGAAACATTTTTTTAATAATATTTATTAATATAAAGGTCCAAAAAAATCACTTTTTAAGTAAAAACAATTGTTTATTTAGAAAATACAACAATAAATAATGCAAAAAATTCACTTTTTTCCTGCAACTCCAAATAAATTGGTTTAAAGATCAAAATTTTCCTTATTTTTCAAGCTTTAATACCGCACAAGAAACATAGAGTCCGAGAAAATATACAACTCACAATTTTTTAAACAATGTTTGTTTACTTTTTTGTATTTTATTTACTGTGAAACGTCTGCTAAAGCTGCGCGCGACGTTTGGAAGTTGTCGCTTTCGTTATTGAGCAGAAGCTCATTACACTAGCGTAGTAGAAAGCATGTTGTGCGAAAAGTGAGGTTATGTTGTCATTAAACGAAACGTAAAAATTTCTGGTTATCACATTGAATGGTTTTTAATTATCTACGTTGCAGTAAAAAATCATAAAAAACATTTTTGAAGGATGAAAAACCTCACTTTTCACACAACATGTTTTTTACTACGCTAGTGTAATGAGCTTCTGCTCAATAAAGAAAGCGACAACTTCCAAACGTCGCGCGCAGCTTTAGCAGACGTTTCACAGTAAATAAAATACAAAAAAATTAACAAACATTGTTTAAAAAATTGTGAGTTGAATATTTTCTCGGACTCTATGTTTCTTGTGCGGTATTAAAGCTTGAAAAATAAGGAAAATTTTGATCTTTAAACCAATTTATTTGGAGTTGCAGGAAAAAAGTGAATTTTTTGCATTATTTATTGTTGTATTTTCTAAATAAACAATTGTTTTTACTTAAAAAGTGATTTTTTTGGACCTTTATATTAATAAATATTATTAAAAAAATGTTTCATTTAATTTGGAAAGGTTACTCCGAAAAGTGCTAAAAAACTCCTGGAATGGCACATATACATTTCAAATTTTCTTGTAAGTCTTATTTCTTAGGTGAACGATTGTTTTCATTTTGATTTTAAATTACTCAGAAAACATTCCAGAATGAATGACCTTTAGGTTGAACTTTGTTCCGACTTATCGTACACTCTCTAAATCTGAATAAGTGATAAATTTCACTTATAACACTATTATAACACTTGAAATGTTTAAATGTATTCTATAACCAGAGCATTTGTATTTTGTGAATGTTTTTTATACTAATTCTCTAAATATATCTTCATTGAAAACACTGTATATGATCTTGTTCATTGTTCAGTACAAGTTACTCTAAAGCTACGTATGATCTAGTACTTGTAATTATTTTGTGCATATCCATGCATCTCTGTGTAAAATTGAAAGTAAAAAATTTAAAGGCTGCCCGGTATTTTTTTAAGCCATTTACAATAGATTGTAACTGTGTAATAGATTTTAACATGTATAAATAGAGAGTCCTTATGATTACCATATACGATTTTCTCAAATTTTCAGTGTTAAAAAATTGTACACATGAAAGTTGATATTTTTGAGAATATGTACAAGTTCTTGTAAAGAAATAGAAGAAGTTCAGTTATTGGGGTGCGATTTTGTAATTTCACTTTCGATTTGATATTGACTTTGACGTTGACTTGAAAATTTATGAATTTACTATATTACGTGGATATTATACGTGTAACGAAAATTAGGATATCCCTGAGATGTTCTTGAGGTATCAAAAGAACATACGATTGTTAAAATTCGGAATGTCTCATCGACGCCTACAGAGTAAACGTCTTAGATACCGAGTCACTAATTTTCTTTTAAAGTAAGTTTTTTTAATGCAAAAAATGCTATTTTGTGTATATGTTGTGGTCAAAGTCCGGAGTGCGGGCAAACTGCGGAATGCCCGGTCACTCCGCAGTTTTCCCAAGCCATTTTGGGCAAAGCTGAATATATCGAGCTTTGCCCAAGCGTTGGCGGGCAAACTGCAAAGTGCCCAAGGCGCTTTGGGCAAAGCTGAAATTAATGTTTTAATATTCAGCTTTGCCCGAGTGCTGGCGGGCAAACTGCGGAGTGCCCAAACCGCTTTGGGCAATGTACCAAATAAGAAAATATAAATTTAAATAAAAACAAAGCATTTCTAAAATTCCAAAAATAATACCTTACATTTTTTATTAAAAACTTGTCAACTGTTTGTACAGACTAACTACAAGACTGTCGTTAATTTTAAAGAACGTCTAATATTAATTACATGTTATTCTTCTACTCAAAAGATTTAGACAAAGGGCAGATCCTTTACATTTCATGTCCCAAATAAGAAAATTTCCGAAACGAAGTAAATTTTGTTTTATTTCAAGTTGTATTAATTATTATTTTATTATTATAACAATAGTAATAATAATAATAATATTTATTATTATTATTATTATTAGTATTATTATTATTATTATTAATATTATTATTATTTTTATTATTATTTTTTTTTTTGCTTACTGCGGGTCGCCACATTACTCCTACAACAGAAGGCCCACATAAGAAGATATATGACCATTCAATCATAGGAGTTATAATGACTTTAAAATCTTTTATAGAGAAACAAGCTTGGCGCCCAAGCTTGAATACTGTGAGACTCTGACGCAAGCGCCCATACTCACTAAAAACCCATTTTACCCGGACACTATTTCACCTGCGGAATTGCCGTCAAGCTTCGGTCTTCGCAGATGAGGTCCCGTATTGCCGCTATAGCGACCCTACCGTTACGGAACTTCGTAGCCTACTCTTCCGGCTATTGCTCAAGGCTGGACAGAAGGGGGAGGGGATCTAAATTCTCCTCCTCCCTCTTCTGCTTGATCCCTGCCGAGCATTAAGGTATATCCCGGTCAACCCGGATCTTCCGTCTTTGTCTTTTGTCGACATGACTTTTACGACAAAAGCCTCGATATGCCTCCAGGAGTCCACATTTTGGAACATGATGGAGACCATAGCTATTACAGTTCCCTTGTTCTAGCGAGCTCGCTAGGTCCTTTACTAGCATGAAGACCTCCTGTCTTTCTCTCGCCAGTAAATCTACTGGCGGAGTGCTCGCCAGAACTAGGACTGCACTCGTTGAAACTGTTCTGTAGGCTGAATCCACTCTCCGCGCGGATCTTCCCTGTACGGAGAGCAGTTTATCAGAGATGCCGCGGGTCTTTAGGGCTTTATCAGCCCATGCAGGGGCAGCATACAGCTGCTTTGCTAGACCCACGGTCGCCACCAATCGCCTTTTCCTTTCCCTGGAGCCGCCGACATTGGGCATCATCCTCGAAAGGTTTCCAACGCATTCGGCGGCCTCGAGTGACTTGATGTTACAGTGTTGGTAGAAGCTTAACCTTCTGTCCAACGTCACTCCCAGGTACTTGAGATTATTTCCCCAGGAGACTTCAGTCTTCCCGATTTGGAGCCGAGGGGTTTCATACGGTCTCCGGTCTGTGACGAGCAAGGCTTCAGTCTTCTCTATGGCCATTTGAAGGTCATTGAGGTCTAACCAGCGTTTTACTCGTCTCAGACTTTCATTGATCCTTATTTCCAGAATTTCTAAGCTCTGCGCGCAACACACTATAATGACGTCGTCTGCAAAGCCGACTACAAACGTGTCTTCAGGTAGGTCGATCCGCAGGAGTTCGTCATACATGACATTCCATACGAAAGGACCCACCTTAGACCCTTGTGGAGCTCCACATGTCATTTCGGATTTGATATGACATGTGTCGCTCCTGTACACAACCCATCTGTTGCTAAGATAGTTGTCTATCATGCGCAACAGATAGGCTGGAACCCTTTTACGTTTCATTGCTTCTATGCAATGGTTCCACCTTGCAGAATAAAACGCATTACGTATGTCGACGGAAACGAGCGCGCAGAATCCTTTCCTTTTCCCCTCTTTGGCTTTCTGTGCCTTATTGACAACAGTGAGTATTGCATCAACTGTTGACCGGCCTTTTCGAAAGCCAAATTGGTTCTCCGATAGGCTGTTCTCGCCTACCAGGATTTCCTGAAGTCTCTGTAGAACCATACCCTCTAGAAACTTACCCATACTATCCAATAAGCATATCGGTCTGTACGATGTGACCTTATCTAGAGGTTTGTCTCCTTTCCTAAGGAGGACCAATTTCTGTACCTTTCAGTCATTGATTAATTATTATTATGAATATAATATAAGTTTTAAAAAATTTAAATTTTTAGTTTATTTTGAACATTCATACTAATAAAGAACAATTTTCGAATGGAAACTAAAAATTATTGGTATTTTTAAATTTATTTCTTTGAATGTAGAATCTGTTTCATTCTTATGTACAATTTATCAAATGTAAAGGATCTGCCATTTGTCTAAATGTTTTGAATAGAAGAATGTCATGTAATTAATATTCGACATTCTTTTGAATTAACGACAGTCTTGTAGTTAGTCTGTACAAGCAGTTGACAAGTTTTTAATAAAAAATGTAAGGTATTATTTTTGGAATTTTAGAAATGCTTTGTTTTTATTTAAATTTACATTTTCTTATTTGGTACATTGCCCAAAGCGGTTTGGGCACTCCGCAGTTTGCCCGCACTCCGGACTTTGACCACAACATATATATAATTTATACAATTTCACAATTGTTCTAAGCACATCAAATTCAGACAAAAAACGTATAAAAACGTTGCATCGCACCAATTTTGATATGTTTTTTGTATCAATTTGATATGTTAGAAAAACTGTGTTATAAACTAGAAAGTAATCAATGATTATTAAAATTTCTTGAATGTGAGTATTTTTCATGTAAATTACAGTGAACATAAAATAACATGAAAACATTAATAGATGGAAATAGTGTTTGTTTGTTTGTTGTTTGCTTTTTTCTAATAATTTTAAGTACCTAAATAATCTATTTGAAAATAATTAACAAATAAATACACTTATTTTTCTTATGATTTAATTTTTAATTATTCTATACGTGCTGGAAAATATTATTTTTAAAAAATAGTAATTTCTAGGTAATGACAAAAAATCTTCTACTTTGTCGAAATCATTCCTCCTTCAATTTTATCTTCATTCACCACTTCCTTATCTAATTCTTTGTTTCTAAGATTTATTTGACATCCCTCATCTACATTGTATGGTTTGCGAATATTTTATATTAAACAGCAAGAATTATAAACATGTGTTGTTCTCTACAAAATATTCGCAAACGATACAATGTAGATGAGCGATTTCAAATAAATCTTCGAAATGAAGAATTAGATAACGAAGTGGTGAATGAAGATGAAATTGAAGGAGGAAGAATTGCAAGGCAGAATATAATAAATACGTATCTTACAAACATTTAAATTATTAAATTTTTTCATTATTTAATCTTTAGTTTTTCAACGTAAAAAAAATGATTAATATACTCAGTTTCATTTAAATAAGATATTAATTAGTTTAAAAATCTATCTGGATTGAAATGTTTTTATTAAGTTTTAAAAAAAGTACCAAAGTTAAAAACTCTCCTTCCTTTATTAATTTAACGACGAACAGAATGATTTCAAAAAAGTAGAAGATTCTGTATAGAATCAATAAAGAATAAATGTTATGAAAAATAAGTGTATTTATTTGTTAATTATTTTCAAATAGATCATTTACTTGAAACTATTAAAAGAAAGCAAACAACATATTTATATATGAAGTTAGTGACCGTTATAATTTATTAATAAGATTTATAGCAGGCTTATCGGTCAAAAGGCTTATCGGTTTTTGACCGATAAGCCTGCTATAAATCTTATTAATAAATCTTATTAACAAACAAACACTATTTACAGTCTATTAATGTTTTCATGCTATTTTATGTCCATTGTAATCTACATAAAAAATACTCACATTCAAGAAATTTTAATAATCATTGATTGCTTTCTACCATATAACACAGTTTTTCTAACACATCAAATTGATACAAAAAATATATCAGAGTCAAAGTTAATGTCAAAGTCAATATCAAATCGAAAGTCTAAATGAAATTACAAAATCGCACCCCTAAACTTGTACAAAAAAATGTACAAGAAATTTTAATAGAGATAAAAATGTAGAAAAATTTACCATTTTTGTTGTATATGAGATCACGCCAATACTCAACAACGCCCAACATTTTGATATATTTTGGTACTTTTTTGATTATGGCCCTGAAACAAAAAAAATTTATCTCAATTAAAAAATAAATTTCTACAACACATGCATGAAAACTTATTTCTAGAGAAGAATCGTGCTCTGGAAACTTTTTTAATTGATCGTAACTATTAGTCATGTCATTCTTTTGCTTGGTTCGCTATCATCAGTAGAAGACATGAAAGATTCGCGCTCGTATAGTGTGCCCCCTCGTGAGTTGTAGTTACGCAAGTTTTATATTAATTGGTTGAATTCATAATTTAAAATCTCGCGCAAAGTTGCAACAATAACCCGTGCAGAAAATTCGATTGAGCTCCAAGTAGAGCCCAACTGGGTTGCCCAAGCTACAAACTGGAAACCCTAGAGAATGTCCAATCTGGGATTGTAACGCTCATCCCTAACGAATCTCAAACATACCGCATTTATACTCGTACCTAATAATTCTAATCCCTAAATTAATACATACAATTTTCTAATGAAATAAAAGGTACGTTACAGCAGATGTGCTGCATTCGAACACATGCAAAAACATCCGTTAAGAATTAGTCGATGAATGGTTAGAAAAAGTTGCAATTCAAAATATATTCTTTAAGTGAATTTAATAATAAAATTTAATTTTAATTAATTTATATAAATTAATAAATAATAATAATATTAATTAATAATTAAATAATTATTCATTTTTTTAACTAGTAAACAATTAAAAAAAAAGTAAAAACACAATAATTTTTTTAATTCAGAGACCCAAAAACTCTTAAAATTTTGTTTCATAAAAATTTGTCGACCAGAATTTGTTGGACATTTTGGGACCACAGACGCTTAGCTTCAAGAATATATAGGTTTTGCAAAAATGGTGACAAAATCGGATAGCGGTATGTCATTCCTCTTTCTTTAAAGCTTTAAAAATCGTAAAGACCAAAATCGTAGCTGATCCGTTTTTTGAATGATTGTTAAATTTGTAATTTTTACTTAATACCTACCTGACAAGAAATTGTAAATATAAGTTATTTCAATTTAAAACAAAAATGTTACTCACATCTGCTTTTGATGTTAATTTCATGTAAACAATTTGATGTTTTACTACCATTCGATATATTATTGTGTAACCTTCACGGAGAGAATATGCTTTAGCAGTAGTATTCAGTACAGATTCTACTAAACAGCGTAGTCAGAGGAACTACTATAGTTTTGTGACACAAAAAAATTTACCTACATAATAATAATATAGAAATCTGATTAGTTGTCCACAATTGAGAAGATTGTGGACAACCAATCAGATTTCTGCATCTCGTTTCTGTCGGCAATTTTTTTTTTCAATAATCGTGTAAATGCTCCCTTACATTTTACTAAACAAATAGTTCATCCCCGTGCATAAATTTTGTCAAGGCGCCGATCAGGGGCTGATAGGGGAAAAATAGCCCACGTCGGGCAACCAGATCGGTGCCACATCGGGAATGAAACGCCTAACCTGATCAGGGCTAGATCGAATCACCCCTACTAGGGCCCTGGTCTGGCCCTTGTTAATTTTAATTTTTAAAAATAATAAAAATTATTCTGGTTTAATTAATAATAAATAAGCTTAAATTATGAATAAATAACATATTTATTTACTAATTCTTCCATTTCTGAATTAAATTCTTACTCAAATTGAATTTTTTAATTAACGTTCTAATTAATTAACTGGTGGATATAGATTAAAAGTAATAAATAAACTGTAATCAGTGTCCACACAGGCCTATAATATTTATACAAAAGGTCTATTTTTTTCTCTCTCCTTTGTCTACTCGAACTGATTGCTCGAACATAAAGTGCAGTTGATGGTGTAGTAAAGTGGAAAGATTGACTATATAGTTAGAACCCCACCAAAAGTTACTGTGACGTAGTACTTGATATAGATATATTAAACTCTACTGCCTGAAGAAGTCCGAATTGGAACAGTTTAATACATAAATATTATGTGATCAAAGTGCTGTGACTACATAGTGCCTTTAATACTTACATTGTACTTAAAGGATATAGACAGTATAACATCACTCAACTAATCCCCCGCCAAAATGAACAAGGTTGCCGATATGGACAAAAGGGAAATAAAGAGAGCGCCGTTATCAAATAGTGCACAAATGAAGAATGACGAAAAAAGAACAAGGCAAAGTTTCACACCACCACTGGACAAGGACAGACAGAGCCACAAGCGTCATCAAGTCCAAATCTTGTCATCAAGAGAACTAAGAAGCTTGGGGATAAAATTTTGCAAACTCCAATTATAGCACCTAACTTAACAAATAGTCGAAACTCAACACCAAGACCAACATTAGCAGAGAAAAAAAAATTATTACAACAGGAGAAATTACTTCTGGAAAAGGCGAAGAAACAGAGTGATATAAAGGCGCTGGGACTGAATGACACGGGCCTGAAGGTCTCCAACACAGAGCAAACGACGAATCAAAACAATGATTCTGAATTTAGTATCAAATCCGACGAATCAGCCGAACATCTAGACGACACACTACTATCCAACATCTCATGTGACACGATAGTGGAAAATACCAGTTTCACAAAATATAGTTCGCCAAGCAGATATAGTGTGTTAAACGATAGTGAGATGGAAGAAAAAGTCGCATATCAAGAAATTCAACAAACACAAAACCAAGATAATGCAACAGGGTCAGCAGCTATTCAACAGAAGCAAAAAAAGGAAGTTAACACCGCAAAAAATCATGAAATGGAAAATTCATCACCAGGCAGAGGGAAAAAAGGTGGAAACACGTCACTAAGGAAAAAGATAACAAGAGGACAACAGGATACGAGAGGCTCCAATCATCTGACTAAACAACTAAAAAATCGACCAACGTTTCAAGAGTTTCATTCCAATATGCCATATATTTATATTTATAAAGGTGAGATTTCAGAGTTAACAAATATAATAAAAAATGATATTGCTTCAGAAAATTTTATTCTTAAAAATCTAACAAATGAAAAAATAGTGTTACATGTAACAACACTAGAAGTCTTAAAAAATGCGCTTAAATCTCTTAAAGAAAATAAAATAGAATTTTTTAAACGAACGCCTAGAGAGGAAAAAGTCCAATCAATTAATCTAAAAGGTATGGCAAATGACTTTTCAGAAATTGAAATTTTTTAAATGTTGTCGGAACTGGGTATTGATGACATAAAGATAGTGAAAGTTAAAAAAATTAATACTAAAATATTCTTTCGAGCGGAAAGAGGTAACGATGCTTTTTTGGTACAAATAACAGGTAAAAGTAGATTGTTGAGTTTAATCAATATTAAAGTATTAGCTAATCAAATGGTAACTTGGGACAAAATTAGAAAAAAAACATCCAGCACAGTGTTACAACTGTCAAAGATTTGGCCATATTGCAAAATACTGTAACAGAGACTATAGATGTGTCAAATCTAATTCAGAGCATAATCCGGGTGAGTGTGAGCGGAATGCGGAGGAAGGAATGGTGGATGGCCCAACAGAGAAGACAGTATACTGTGTTGTCTGTGGTGGGGAGGGTCATCCGGCACCCTATTGAGGCTGTCCAAAGTACAGGGAAAAAGCCGAACAAATAAAACAAAAATTGGTTGATATTAAAGAAAAAAAACAAGAAAGATTAAATAAAATTGCCAAATTTATTTCTCCTGAAACTTATTACGCCAGAGCGGTTAGCCCAACTAAAAACCAAATATCGACAAGTACATGTCCACCCCCCTCACTTCCTATTCCTCATCTACTACCCCAATTCCAAAACCAAACTCAAACGGAGCCAATAATGGGAAAAGGAATATCCACCCCAATTGTCGAACAAGGTAACAAAATCAAAAAAATCCTCGTAGCATTTAAAGACGAAATTTTAAAATCTATTAATTAACAGATGAATGCAGTTTCACGCAAGTGTCTGTCAATTCGAGTAAAATTGACATAATATACAAACATCTTAACCTTCACAACCCTCATAACAAAAGGATATCCCTAGGATATCTATATCAATGGTCGATATCCTAGAATGGTTCCCAGGATATCTTGGAATATCCCTAGGATATCCAAACCGCCGGTCTGTGAGACATCAACAGGATATCCATAGGATATCCACAGGATATCTCTAAGTCATCCACAAAATATCTATTGGATCTTATATCGCAGGATATCCATGGGATATCCTCAGGATGTCCGTGGGATATTCTTAGGATATTCACGGGATATTTAATATCTCAACATATATTTTTAAAGGTTAAAATTGTTAAGCTATTATAATGAATAATAATATAATAAAAACAAAAATCTTATGAGCTTCTAATTTATTTTAAATGAAGATTTGAAACGCATTTTTCAAAGTTTTTAAATAAACTCATGCACTTAATGTATAATTAATATTAATAGTGTTACATCCCGGTACCAAAAAATTCTTAAAAGATGGATCATGAACAAATTAAATTATCTCTTTTAAATAAAGGTCATTACATACATATGAGTCATTCACGATGTTAATAGTGAAAGATAGATGTAATATAACACCTCTGAATGCGGAAGACTCGCATAAAGCAGATGTGTTATATATATATATATATATATATATATATATAGTAAATTAAAGAATTCAATAAGATTATTGATCATTACTCAATATTAATATTATTTTTCATAATACCAATTGTCGATCACTATACATCCTAAATGACTGCAGTCAACTAATTAATAATCAATAAACTAAAATGTTAATAAATTAATTAAGATATTATTATAATTCTATTAATAAATAATGTACGTGACTTTTGCGCTAAATGAAAATTGTACGTGATAATTGCGCTGTCTGTAAATTATACGTGACAATTCTACCCCAATGAACAAAGATCATGTAGTATATAAACCCCAGTTTTTCTATTGCAAAATGTCAATTGTTCAGACGAGTTTCTGCCCGAACGGTGTCTTAAATTCGGCCCTTCGATTTCGTAATTGTTTATCACTCATTGCTGTTAATCGTGAATTTCGTGAACTTTTTAATTTCTTATT